CCCAGAACCACAGCTAGGCACCGGCCCTCTCCCGCCAGATGAACACCCCCTCACTTGAAGTGGTTTCCATTATATACCATGGGGGTCGGGCTGCCCCTATATAGATTGTTCCAGCGGCTCTGCACCCCCGAAGCACACGCCTCTCAGCCAGCCAAAGAGGGAAGGGGGTGGGGGACTGAACTACAGGACAAATCCTCTTTCCGACTCGTTTTCTAGCACCTCCGGGTCCAACACAGCTGCCTCTAATGAAGTGGGCCGAGACCGGAACATGCAGAGTGAGCTCCACCCCCCCCAGCACAGAAGTACATGGGAAAGAACCATGCAAGAGGATTGCAGAAGGACAGACGCTCGGAGCTGAATCAGACTGAGCCAGACCAGCTGTAATCTCGAAAGCCAACTGCCACGACAGGCGGAGGTGGGTCTGTCCCGACCGGAGCCGTTCTCCCCCCAAACTAGTTAGAGAGCAAGTGACCCTCCCTTTTAGGGACCGAATGAGCTGTGTTTTGTGCATACTGAGGCTCACTGTAGCGAGGAAAACCTTTTAAAAAGCGAGCCAGACAAGTTCCCTTTCCCCTGGAAATTCAGATCTTGTCAATCCTGCATTTCCTGCACCCGTCTTGTCCTGACTGGCCACGAAAGGGTTCCAGGGACACTGGACTATGAGAAGTCAATTGCCAGAAAGAGGAAGAGATTTTTAATCAAGCTTTTAAAATGACAGAGGCTGAGAGCTGCCTCGGCAAAATCAGACTGAATCAAGCTCCTCTTGACATGTTGGTGGTTCCACTTTCCACAGGACAGGCGGGCGTGAGTGCTGTCTGTCTCCATCCCGGCCAGAGGTTTTCTCCCCGAAAATATTTGAGGCAGAATTTTCTGATTTTTGAAGATTTGAGGGACCCAGCAGGTAGAAACCCAGAGGCTACGTCTAGACTGGCATGATTTTCTGCAAATGCTTTTAACGGAAAAGTTTTTCCGTTAAAAGCATTTGTGGAAAAGCGCGTCTAGATTGGCACGGACACTTTTCCGCAAAAAAGCCCCGATCGTCATTTTTGTGATCGGGGCTTTTTTGGGCAAAACAAATCTCAGCTGTCTACACTGGCCCTCTTGCACAAAAGCATTTGCGCGAGAGGGCTTTTGCCCGAACGGGAGCAGCACAGCATTTCCACAAGAACACTGACGATCTTACATGAGATCTTCAGTGTTCTTGCGGAAATTCAAGTGGCCAGTGTAGACAGCTGGCAAGTTTTTGCACAAAAGTGACCGCTTTTGCGGAAAAACTTGCCAGTCTAGACGCAGCAATGCAGAAACAGGGATCTGCCCCTTCTGTGCGTCGGAGCGGGAGGGGAGGAAAAGGGGGTTTCCCACCCGGGATGCTCCCTCCCCTCCTAGGGACCCGGAGACTTACTCAGCTGCAGCTTAATGTGGTGGTTGCTAGAGCCAAACTTGTTGGTGGCCGTGCAGGTGACGCCCGAGCGCAGCAGTTCCGAGGTGACCTGGACGGTCAAGTTGCTGAGGGCGCGGTGATGGTCCGAGTGGTTTTGGACCTGGAGGGAGATGGGGGAGAGTGAGGGATGCGGTTCAGGAGGGGAGCGCTACCAGGTAGGTTCCCAATCAAGGCCTACGCTTGCCCCCCCTTTAGGGGAGTTCCCCCGAAAGCATAAGAGGCGATGCCTGAATGGAAGAGGTCAAGGTCCTAGCCCCAGGGTCCGTGCCGGGTGCCCCATCCGGCAGCTGGGTCTCACCTTGCCACCGACGGTCCACGTGATCGTGGGCTCCGGGAGGGCAGCAGCTTTGCACGTCAGGGTCACCATTTCGTTCTGTTGCACGGGCACGAGGGAATCCTTGGCACTGATGTGGGGGGGGGCAGGGCCCACTCTAATCAAGGAGCGGGTCATGTTTTATTGTGGGGCTGGGATTGCGCGGGACCTCCAAGTGGGGCTGAACTCAACAATGGGCCAGGCAGCGATGGAGGTCAGTGCTCAGTGCTTTCCTGGGGGAGCTCTGGGGCGGGGTTCGAAGGCCTGATCCCCACCAAAGCCTCAGGCTGGAGCTACGGTGACCTCTCGGCATGGAGATGCTTCGCTTGGGATCTTTTCTTTTTTTAATGCTTTTGCCTTACGCGGGACCTCCAAGTGGGGCTGAACTCAACAATGGGCCAGGCAGCGATGGAGGTCAGTGCTCAGTGCTTTCCTGGGGGAGCTCTGGGGCGGGGTTCGAAGGCCTGATCCCCACCAAAGCCTCAGGCTGGAGCTACGGTGACCTCTCGGCATGGAGATGCTTCGCTTGGGATCTTTTCTTTTTTTAATGCTTTTGCCTTAACAATCAATGTGCTTGCTTAGCAAGAGCAGGGTGCAGGCTGGCGACTGCCAGCGACGACGGCCGCTCGTAGCCTCCGTTGGGGGGGCCAAGTGCCGGCGTCGTCTTGCTGAGACAGTCTGGCTTGCTGGGACTCAGCTGCGCAGCCTGGAAAAGCCCCGGTGAGGAGAGTTAGGAACACGGGTCTCGGCCCAAGAGAGGTGACGGCCGAGGAGCCGGGAGATGCAGGGGAGCTGGAACTCCAGCTACAGCTGTGCAGGACTCTGCCATGACCTTGCGCAGCCATCTGGCCAGGTGGGGAGATGCACCAGGCCCACTCGCGTGGACCATGGCGAGCGGCGTGTCTGCCAGCTGGTCCCTCCCCGAGCCAGGGACCGGCAGAGCTGCAGTGGAGCAGCCACAGGACTGCAGGGGACCACATGACCCGCCAGGGCTTCTTGCTAGATGCTGCGATGACCATGCCGCCTGGCCCGGCTCTTACCGTGAACACCGACGTACACCTGTCTGGAGTGGGCAAGGCCTGGCACCCCCGCCACGGCCACCTCGCAGCTGTAGCTGCCCGACGACTCGTGGGTGACGTTGCTCAGTTTCAGCTGCCGGCTTTTCCCCAGCAGCTTCCCCTTCTGGAAAAGGAGGCAAGCAGGCTAGCGTCCTACGGCCGGGGTCCTGCCTCTCCATGAGGTTGGGGACATGTCTCGGGGGCAGCCAGAGTCCCCCGAAGTTTTCCAGCCCGGCTCAAAGGCAGGGCGAGACTTGGAACCCGCAGGGCTCGCAGGCAGGGAACACCCTGCAGCAAGGGGAGGGTCAAGATTTCCTCTAGTTCTACCGGCAAGATCTTGTCCCTACGGCCACCGGAGCCAGGCCCAGCCCAGCTAGGGAGGGGAAGTTTGGGGCCATTGCTCGGCGTCATTCATTACCTTTTCCTTCTTCCATCGGAACTCCAAGGGCTTGGAGCCTCGGGCGTCACATGTCAGGGCTAAGGCATCTCCTTCCTGCAGCTGGATGGGCCCTTCCGGGGTTATCTTGATCCCTTCGAGGTCTAGGGGGAGAGCGAGCGTGGGGCTGAGGCGCGGGGTCGAGGGCTCGTTTGGGGCCATTGCTCGGCGTCATTCATTACCTTTTCCTTCTTCCATCGGAACTCCAAGGGCTTGGAGCCTCGGGCGTCACATGTCAGGGCTAAGGCATCTCCTTCCTGCAGCTGGATGGGCCCTTCCGGGGTTATCTTGATCCCTTCGAGGTCTAGGGGGAGAGCGAGCGTGGGGCTGAGGCGCGGGGTCGAGGGCTCGCTGACTCAGGGACAGAACCGAAGCCGCTTCCCCGGAACCAGCCCGGAGCGTGGCCACAGGCTGGCTC